GCGCTTGGTGATGTGAGAGCCTGGTCCGGTGAGAACCCGGCGTGCTCCGTCCCGGCTTTGTAGGGATGCGAGGTCTATGGTCTGACGACTTCGGCATGCACGACTATGAGTACACCCCCCCCCTCGCCCGAAGGCTGTGAGCGTTGTGAACTATGGGGCAGAGGGGAACAGTTGGGTTCCCCGAACAAGACGTTGGTAGGGCAGCTGGCAACGACCGCCTTGCTTGGTAGCCGCCTAATAAGTATGTGCATAGAATACTTGGTTACTCCGTCCATGCCCGCCGCCTTACATAGGCCGACCGCCTTATTCAGAGCGCCTTCTTCGGGAACCCCCCACACCGCTCTAGACAAGCGTTATCCGGCCGCTCCTCTTGCCTAAACTCGACCCCTCCTCGTCCCCCGCGCTTTCACACAGGTACGCAAACATCTCTAACCCGATGGCCCACTACGAGAACACGGCGGAGGAGATTCTGGAGCAGTGCGACGGGCAAGTGGACATGCTGGTCGTCGCGGCGGGGACGGGGGGCACGCTGACTGGCGTCGGTCGGAAACTCAAGGTATGGTATGTGGTGTACTGCTGAAGGCCGGGTAGGGGGTCTGCTGTTGGGAGTGTGGCAGGCCAAGGCCGTGATTTGGCTGACCAGGCGTGGTGAAGTTTAGCGGTACGGTAGGACCGGCGGTGTGACCGGGTGGGTGTCGGTCACGGGAGTCGGTCTCCCGATAACCCGGTGCGGCTTTGAGTTTTTGGATAGATTCCGCATTCCAAAGGGCGAGGGAAAAATGGCAAAGGGGAGGCGTGGATCGATTGCCTACAAGAGCGATGCAACAAAGAAAGCGCTTCGATGTACCTCTCCCTCCCCCGCTGTTCGGCCTCTGCTCGACCACATACTTACGTACTTGCATTTTTTGCGCCCCCTACGATGGCAATTTCCGTGGACCGTAGTGAAACATTCCTTGATAGTCGTTTGCGTCTTCGCATATACGGGAGAAAGACCGACACCTCCGTGACCAGAGGCATACGTAGTCGATAGTCCGGGCATGAAGGCCAGCTATCTCCGTCTACGTTGTATACCTACGTTGTATACCACCCCACCTTCTCCGGTGCGCTGTTCCTAAGCCTCGTGCGCGCTGTGTCGATGTACCCGGCAGGAGAGGTGTCCCGACGTGGTGTTGGTTGGAGTGGACCCGGTGGGGTCGATCCTGGCTCTGCCGGAGCACCTCAACGACGAGGGGCGATTATCTTCCTACAAGGTATGTGCTGGTGCGGTACTGCCTAGGCGGTTTGTCGATGGTGTTGCATGCGTGAGTGAAGTGTACATGCCGCTGCGAGATGTAGAGCCTCTGGACGTTGCCGTTGCCGTTGACGTTGACGCTCGTTCGAGGGGTGCGCCGTGCGTGTGCGAGTGTGGCGCGGCGTAGGGGGTGCTGTACAGAGGTCCCGTGACACGTGTTTTTCTTTTTTGTTCAGACACCTGTATTTTTCTTGTTACGTCGATGAGTTTCCGACATCGACGATGATGTGCTGTGCACAAAAAATAGCTACAGTAGTGACAGCCTCCCTCGTTTCTCTCAGTTCTCATTGTTCGACATCAGATGGTCTGCAGAACGCCAACTTTCCGTACTCCCTTTTGCCGCTGTCTTCTTTGTTGTTGTTGACTCTCTGCTGTTCCTTCGGAATGTCCTTGTTCCTTTTTTTCCTTTTCTTTTTGTTCCCTTCTTTCTCCCTCTTCCTCCCTCTATCTCCCTTTCACCACGATCGACACGATCAAGGTCGAGGGCATCGGCTATGATTTCATCCCGACCGTTCTGGACAGAAACCTGGCGGACCTGTGGGTCAAGACCAACGACAAGGTGATGTCATCATGACGACGGGTATTGGAGCATTATCGCATCACATGAACGATCACGAGAATTTCGTCGTCGAAATCACTCACGACAGATATAATGCGCCCAACAAGCGGTGGCCAGGGCAGGTGTTTAAAGGTGCGATGAAGAAAGACTACGTTTGCAAACATCAGAATGAATATGCGTACCTATTCCTTGACACAGAGGCTCGTTCGCCAGAGGAGAAAAGGGGGTGTAGCAAGGTTGATTGGTGCACGTTGCTGGTAGATCGGCAGCATGAGTTAGCCCTACCTCACTCTCTCGCTGTACTACGCGTGTCGTATGTGTGTCATCTATGCTGTCGTTGCCGTACATTCCCCGCAAAGAACGCCCCCCCGAAAGCCATAGCCACAAAGCACCGCCAACACTTGCCCAAAGCGTATCCGTGTGAAAAAAACACAGGAGGCGTACGTATTTCTAAACCAACGTCCGTGTGAATGAAACACAGGCGTCGGTTAGTGCAGCCATAGCATAGTCTATGTGAACAAGACACACAGGAGTCGAGGGTTGATCCAACACTCACGGCCCGTGTGCATGACTCACGGGTCGTTTGAATAACCAATCTTGCGCCCGTGCGAATGAATGTAACACAGGATTCGTTCATGATGTCGCGTCGCCTCATCCGAGAGGAGGGGCTGCTGTGCGGGGGATCGTCGGGCGCGGCCGTCTACGCCGCCGTGGCGGAGGCGAAGCGGCAGCGGCTCGGACCGGGTAAGCGTTGCGTCGTCATTCTTGCCGACAGCGTCCGGAACTACATGACCAAGTACCTCAGTGACGAGTGGATGTACGAGCAGGGCTTCGCGGCGACGTGCTCCCAGGTGCGGCGCGTCAATTGATTTTCTTTATAGCCGGTGGTGTTTTTTCGCGCTGCGTTTGGGTGTGCCTGTGTTTCGCGAGTGTGTTGTCTGGTTTGATGGCGCTGGCCACCGTAAGTGTGTTGCGGAGTGGCCAATCAGGAGAGGCGTGGGTCTTGTGTACATGCGGCGAAATATATATATATATGAATAGGTCGTTGTGCTATATAGTGTGTGTTTTGTGTGCATGATTCGTGCATGTCTTTTGTCTTGACTGCAATGTTATCGCAACCGGCCGGTCGAACAAGAAGACTTCGACAAACTATTCTGTATTTCCCCCCGGCGGGACCACTCCATGCCATGGTGCTGTACGCGCAGGGCAGACGCGTTGCGCATGAGCCGCCGTGGATGAACGTGAGAGAGAAACGTGGGAGACCGCAAGCCAAGCACGCAAGTGGATGTTTATTTTTGTCTTGTGGCTGCTTGGCTCTGGAAACTGCTTTCACGGCTTGTTGTGGAGACCGCTTTCTTGTGCGCATGCCGCCGTGATTTTTTTTTTTACCCCACCCACCTACCCCGTTATCCGCTTTTCGTGTGCGTCCGTCTGTTTTTCGTCCTGCGTCCCTGTCGCCGCCCCCGCCGCGTGGGGTCAGTGGAGCGAGCGCATGGCGAGGTCGTGGTGGGCCAGCAAGAGGGTGTCGGAGCTGGAGCTGCAGACGCCGCTGACTGTCTCGCCATGCGTGACCATCCAGGTAGGTTCTATGTTGGAAGCCTTCCTCCAGTTTCTTGCGCCGGGAATCCGGGTAGTGTGGAAGGATGTTCTGCGGGGGAGGCTTGCTTGTGCTAATATTGCAGTGAATGAAGTTCTCCTTTCGTCCTCGGGGGAGGCGTGCTTGTGCTAATACTGCAGTGGGTGAAGTTCTCTTATCGTCCTCGTTTTTTTTTTTTTGAAGAGCGCACCCTCTCTCCTTGTGGAACGGACCCAAACGCCACGCTTCACCCTAGCTGCCTCTGCGCGGGGCAAGCAAAACTGATCGGATCGGCTCGCCATCCTTCCGAACGTTGCTTCCGTCTTCCAATAGCCTTTCTTGTTTGGTCTGGACACCAAGAAGCACGCTGTGGCTGTCTTTAGAGCATTTCGCCGTAGAGGATGCCCCTGTCGCCATGCATGTATTGAAATCACTCCACTGCAAACACGCCATGCGCGCCTCTGCCGGCTCAACCGCACCTATTGCTCCCACCACACGCCACACTATTTGTTGACGCGCCGCCGTTTATCTGTGTCCTCCCGACCCCCCGTCCGAATTGTGTCTTCTCAGGAGGCGATCGACATCCTCAAGAAGCAGGGGTACGACATGGTGCCGGTGGTGTCCGAGGACAACAAGATCATGGGCGTTGTAACGGAGGGCAACCTGATGGCTTGCCTCCTGAATGGGAGGGTGCAGCCCGAGGATGTCGTGGAGAGCGTCATGTACAAACAGTTCAAGAAGGCGAGCGAAAGGTTCCCTCTCGCACCCAAGCCTACCGGGAGCAGCGTTGTGTAGTCACGTAAGGCACGTGTTAGGACACGCACACGCCCAATGCACGGGCTGTCGGGAAGAGGCAAGCATGCAGTCCACCATGTCTGTCTTACCTCAGCCATGTCCAACATGTCTCCGTGCTTGAAGTCATGTTGAGGATGCCCATGTCAAGCGGAGCACCAATCGGCTCGCTAATGATTGGACAAGATAAAGACCTCGGTCTCATACGACCTGTGAATGTGTCTCGTCTATCATGTATGGAATTGAGAAACTCGTCTACCTACCTGCTGATATTCACAATGGCAAACATGCCTCGAATCTGTCGCAGAAACAATCGTGATGGCATGTTTGAGAAAACAACGTTCGGAGAGTGAGGCTAGCGTGAAAATAGTCCACAAGCAGCGATGTTAAGCGTGGCTTTCGGAATCCCCGTTCAGAATTGACCGTAACCATATACAACCCCACACCCCTGTTGTTTTGTGGTGTGGTGTCACTTGTTGGTGGAAATTTCGCCCTTTGCGACATCACGACCTGCTACAAGTCTGAGCCCCGCGTTCGCTCGGCGGGTCGCTTGCTTTGCTAACCCCCGACGTCAGGTGGGGCTGCAAACGCCCTTGGAGGAGCTGGCCCACTGGTTCGACCGCGACCACTTCGCGCTCGTGTGCACGGAGCAGCGGTCGTACACCGGCGGGACGTACAGCACGATCACCGTCATCACTGGGGTCGTGACCCGGGTCGACCTCCTGAGCTTCATCGCCACCAGGGGCGGCGAGAGCCCCGTTTCCAACGTAAGGGCGCCGCGAGGGACTGTCGGCTGTGACCGCTCATCAACGTACTTGTAGAACGAACGTATGTTGTATGAACCTCTCGAACGTGAGCGCGTCGAGGACTGGCGTCATGAACAGCGTGCGTTTCAGAACAAACCGATGGAGTATTCATGGGAAGGATTAACGCGAACCATCCGCTTCTATGGTTGTGCGGAGATGGTGCTCGTGCGCTGCCCCTGAATCTTGGCGCGTACGAACGTCGCGCCGAATGTTAATACTTGACGTTGAGACGATCTGTAGGCATTTGTGGCAGGGTGGTCGAAGGGGCGACGAACGAGGTGCTGCGTAGGTGAGCTTGGCTTCTTTTTTTTTTTGCTTTGTCTCTGTTGTGTCGTGTGTCGGGGCGAAGGGCCCCGTCTCTAGACAAGAGTGATGCGGGCCAACGATCGCACCTCGGTGTACATTCAGCGGCTGCTTGGTATTGCTTGCTGTATGAAGAGCGAGGCTTGCCGTACACGTGGCAACTACCGACCTCGTTCGTATTCGCTCCCGCCCCACCACGCCACACGTGTCACCTGTTTTCAACCTACGTCAAGGCTGTCGGCCGAGCTTCACGAACGGTGTGGACCAGAGAGTTACCTAGGCTCCCGTCAAGGCTATCGGTAGAACTTTATGCGCGACGCTTTGGACCAGAGAGTTCACTATCCGTACATCCATCCTGCTGTTCACCGCGCGTTGCCATCGTCGTTGCCCAACAGGCGGCGGCGTGACCCAGCGGCACCGGCAACCCTTCCCACTCCCATCTTCCGCCGCCCTCGACACGTTTGAAGATGTAGCTGTCTAGATGGCCTGCGGTTTTTGGCTGATATTCATGGATTGACTGGGTATGCCTTAAGCTTCACAGCAGCAACATCCTCACGAATTTCGCATGCGCGCTTTGGAGGGGGTTGGTGGCTGACGAGGGAGCTGAACGGCCTTGTGTTTTTTTGCGAGGGGCCTGCGGTGAACGGTATCGAGATGTAAATAACAACCAGATAGTAGTTGGAATTAGCGTCATCACAACCCCATTTGCTTTTGGATCCTACCTGCTGCAACCGACATGCCTACCTTGGGCATCCACTGCAGTTGCCCCTGTAGAAATCGAGTTCGGCACGCGCCGTTCCCGAGTTGAGGGCGTGCGTGTTTCTAGGTGTAAATTATTTCTCTTCCACCACAGGCGGCATCGACCAGACGCGGGAGGCTCCGCATTGTGCCTGTACTCGGAGTATTCTGTACGTTTTTTTCTTTTTTGCCCTCAACCAGGCCCTAAGCTGCATGAGGCCAAAACCTCACCAGCTTCCAAGGCTTCTCCAGACGAAATTCATGTCGCCACGTTTTGGTTATGTCACTTGTACAAGAGGCGTTGATGCGTATATTTTTGTGCCTGGGGAGTGGAACTGAGCTGGGTTTGTGGGAAGTACGTGGCAAGCGTTTTGCCGGTCAACGTTGAAGGTTTCTACTTGTGCTAGAGGCGCTTGTTTTGGCCGATATGGAATCTGAGCCGGGTCTCGCGGAATGCATACGTACCATTCGTTTTGTCGGTGTAGATGTGTGTCCCCTTATCTTTGGCCCGTCGCGGGCGTTGGATGCGGAGGCTGTCATCGGCACGGACTGGTTATTACCTGGGAGAACGAGCTGATGATTGCGAGGCGACGTGCTACCGGACGTGTTTTCTCGTCCCTTGCGAAGAATGACTAGTCGCCGGGAGCTTAACCCAAGCTGTGCTCCTTTTTTGCCACAAGGGCTTGGGCAAAAGCTCACAAGCGAACGCTTGTTTGTGTCGGCTATTAGGATGCTTGTGGACGTGTTAGTTCGCCCCTTTACGAAGAAAAAAAAGCGCCGAGACCTAGGAAGTGGCCGAGGGAACGATCGAACAGCCATACTTGAGAGGCACACGACCGCGGGGGGTGGCAAGGGCGTTTCGCGCCAAGGGTCGATTGCTTCGGCTGGATCTGTCGTTGCCCAGTGTCCGCCATGATACGGCCGTGCAAGTAGCGGCCATCATGCCAGTCAGTGGTGTTGTAAGGGTCTGGAAGAAAGTAGTTCTATTGTAGATTCGTACATTGGAACGTGTTTTGTTGTGCCCTAAGTCCGTATTGTGGCCATGGGCGGCCGGGACCGCCATGCTGCCGTGCATATAATCCCGCAGAGGGGGGGTATCATGGAAACGGGCGTCGAATGGGAGATAAATGTCAACGACTGCGGCCTTACTAGTACAATGCCCTTCTGTTGGCATGGACTAATGATAATGTTGGATACTGCGACTTCTGTCAAACCTACATTGTCGACCTGCGAAATCAACACACACACGGAACGGGAAAACGTCTGTGTTGCTTTCTCCCGTTGTCATTGGGTGCATGCTAGTGAACTTGTGCATGGTGCCGCTGTTCTGTTCCGCGCTCCCGTTGCCAAAAACCGCGTTTCTTTCACGAAGGTTCATCTTGCACACGTGTGTTTTTAAACCATACAACACCCGAGTTTTTCCACAAGTGTTGCGCACATCCTGATGCAATGACTACACGATGTGCGGTGTTGAACTCGTCCCCACCTGTGCATCTACATGACCACTACGCGCACCCTTTTCAACACTTCCAAGTGGCGTGTGGCCCGTCGAAAGAGCGATGATGATAGCATCCCACACGAATCTCTTAGGTCAAGCAACCTCCTTGCGGAAGTCCCGAATCTGAACCAGGATACCCCGACAGCACAGGGAGCGCTTGCACCCAAATAGTGGAATCTTATCCACCAAGCCTCCTTTTTTCAAGCCTTGAATGATGCTGCCCCTCCCCCATTGTCCTCTCAGGGAGGGGTGGGCGGGCGAAAAGCGCCCCCAACACAACCCCTGATCGGGGGAGGGCTAAGCCGAAACTGTACTTTATCCCGCGGTCCGGCGACCGCATCCCGTCTCTCAAGATCATGACGAGACCCTCCTTCGACAAGAAGGCTCTGGACCTACAGTCGTATCCCAGCTTGAAACCCGCCGCATGAGCGCACCCTTAAAGCACCTGTGAATTGATACATTGATACTGACGAGGAAAAATACGACATTAACGTTTACAACACCCCTGCCTAAAAAACGTCAAGGAGAAAAATCCCGGGGTTGAATCTCTCCACACAACCGTTCGGGCTAGGCTACGCCCATCCATCATCTCCTCCTATGTGAAGGTCCCGAAAGGAGTCTGACCGTCGGCTGGCGCCGCGTCTGAGGGCATCGTGGTTGTGTCCGTGATTGCCGACCCCACGATCTTTTTTTTAATGCACGAGTGCGGCAAGGCGTTGGGAAAAGGCATGCGGGCGGGGGGGAGGGGGTCGAGGGTCGGGGGCAAGGGCGTATACAACACACAAGGCCGGCGTTTTTTTTTGCACAAGCGGTTTGAGAGACACACTCAAAAGACAGAAAAGACGAAGATGAATAACACAGAGAGAGGGGGTAGAGATGGAGGGAGAGAAACGAAGACAAGAAAAATGCACCTGAACAATCAACATCCTGATCGAGCACGCACAAGTCTCAACGGTACGCAATTGCCTCTCACGACACTCGCCGCCCTACCACCAGACACTAGCTACGAATGGCCGTTCCCGACGAAGCGACAAGCAGGACAGCATTTTGTACGTAGAGACACATGCGCAAAAGGTCAAAGTGGTCACCTGAGCAAACGCGTAGAGTATCGCCGTGAGAAGTAGCAGGACCCCAAGTACAATCTGGGAGGAAAAAACGGTCAAGAGAAAGGTGGACCCGTGGCCCAAGGACGCCCGCACGAAAAGAGATGTCCCAACAAAAAGAGCGGAGCGGGCCATCAATCAGTGATCAAGCAACGTCAGGGCAGAGGGGGGCAAGGGGGTTCCGTGAAACCTGGCATCGAAGCAAAAACGAGAAAAAATGCTTTACAAGAAGATTTTCCAACCTTTACCTAGAGTCGACACGCACCCCAAAACACAACACTACCGAAGACTTTGCGCCATCTCGTGCATGTATCTCTATGTTTTCGACATTCAGGCGAACGCCGGCCGAGGCAAAACAACGAAGAAAACGATGCGACTCAAAGATGCCGCCGCCCCCTCCCCCCGACCCATCTCTCCAAAATTTCGCTGTTAGAAACGCGGCAACAGGAAAAATCTACACACATCAGGTGCAAGAGAGATAGAAAATCTCACAACAATACGTGTGTGTTAAGGACTCACGTTCAGCAAATTTGACGTGAAGGCGACGATGGCGAGGCACAAGTATAGGACCGCGCGAACGGCCGGAATACTGAACTTTAGGGTGTCGTTTAAGATCGTCTCCAGACGTCGGCACGGCTGTGGGACACACGTGTTAGGGTGTAGGGCAAGGGGAGGGCGGCGTACAGCAGGAGCGTAAACAAAGCGGGCCAGTCAAGAAAGGTATTGCGGTCTCGTTAAAGATAGTCTCCAGCATCGGCACGGCTGTGGGGCCGGACGCTTTGGGTGCAAGACGGGGTGACGGGAACGAGGGCGGCTTGCAGCAGGAGTGTAAACAAAGAGGAACAGACAGGACACGCCTTAGGGGTACCGAAAAGCATGGCGCTAGAGAGAGAAAGGCGGAGAGGAAGACAGAGAAGGAACCGGGGAGTCATCACGTTCGGCAAGAACGCGGATGCTACTGGCTTGTTGCCCTCTGGTCTTCGACTAGATACGGTAACTTGCGCTGAGCATCCATGGCTCGTTCCTGTCAGCAAGACTTTGCAGCGCCTTGTGTGATGGGGCCCAAAACGCGTAGACGACGCTTCGGCCTCGCGTTACTTGAGTCAAGCAAGGGCCCTCAGACTTGACACGTCAGACCGGTGCTCAAGGCTTGGTGCCGCTGTACTCGGTCAAGCACAGCTCTCGCACTCCCCTTGCTCCCGTTCATTAGGCGAATTGCCGCCCCCATGCGACTCGCCGAGTACCTCACGGCGCTTCGCGCTTGGTGATGTGCCAGCGTGGTCCCGTGAGAACCCGGCGTGCTTCATCCCGACTTTGGAGGGATGCGACCCCAATTATGTAAAGACTACAACGTCGCATGCCCGTTCTGGATGCACCGGAAACATTGTCAACAGATAAATTCGTCGCGCTGGCTCTGAAGCAGTGTCATCTTCAAGCGTTTACTGTGCGGCCAACCTGTTTAGGAGTGCGTACAAGCGAAACTGGAGTTGAAGGTGTGCAAGAGGCCCGCCCCCCACAGGTGGTATAACATACAGGGTCCCCGTGGTACAGAGGATGCCGCTGTCTCAGTGGCTTGATCGCCGTGTTATTGTCGATCTCCCCTCTGATCGTGGTGTGCCATCCAGCCACAGCAGCTTCCACGAGGGAGATGCACATAACTGCTTTCCAGGATGCTCGTACATGTGCAGTGCGTGACTCCGGGAGAAAAAAACAAGAATAAATAATCACCTCGAAACATTTGTAGACGAAGGGCACTTCAAACGTGGCCAAGAGAAGGCCGATCGCGAGAGAAAGGACGGCCCCGAACCAGTGCCAGAAGATGAACCCAACCACCGTGCACGCCAGCGATGTGGCGGTGCAGATGCTCCCGCCTCGCTTGGCGTGGATCCCCCAGTCGGATTCCTGGAAAAGGGAACAAAAAAATCAATAACAAAGAAAATGAGTGAGGTTCCTGGGCGCACCAGCCACGCGCGAGGAAGGACTTTTAGCGTCCGATCGGGTACAGAAACATTGCTGCAAAAACTATTGCAGATCCATCCAAAATGCTCTTGTGCACCAGCAGTACTGCGCATAGTGCAAGGGGTTGGAAATCGCGGTCTTTTTGAGGGTTCGCAAAAAAGTACCAACAATCGGAATGGAAGCAGCCAAAACACGAGACTCATCGTACGGAAAGGGAGTGTCGCACAACACAACACAAAACAACACAACACAACGAGAAACGTAGCACAACGGCACAACGGGTGGACATCATCACGCGGTCACGGTAGGCGGTAAACGAGCGGTCCGAAAAAACCTGCTATTTACATGTGCTAGAATCCTTTCCGAGAAAAAATACAAGTAGGATACACTGAATAATGTTCTGCGGGGCCCGACGAGAGCTGTCGACGAGAAAGGGTCTCCTTGTCTCCTTCCTCCAACAGGAGAGGTCCAACAACACAACACCAACACCACACCGATCGCTGTCCCTCTCCGCTACTGCTGTCTTTGCCCGCAGGTCGCTGGTTGGCCCTACGCTCAACGGGCAGTGGCGGAGAGACTCACTTCTCGCCGAGCGCGCGGGCGAGCAATGAGGTCGTGCTCTTCCCACTATTTACGACGAGAAGAAGCCAAGCACGCGGGAATATTTCACTTGTAAGAGACCTGCTTGCGTGCCAGGCCCCTGGTGCCAGCGGCACTGGCATGTGGAACGGTCTCGAGACTGCTGCGCTACACAGCAATGTATCTACAAGGACGAGCTTCTTTCTCATACAGCAGTGCAGCAGTGGCAGCAACTTGTTGCCGCCACAAGAAAACCAAACGGCCGAACCAAACACATTCGTGCAAGGCAGGCACCCCCTCACCATGAAGTGGAATTCCGGCATGTTGTCTGCTGTCAGCTCTCTCTGCTCCTCTCAAAACGCATGAACACCGCGGGCACGGCGCGGGTGCCTGCCGAGGGCACCCCGTGAAATAGACCCGGGCGGGGTACACAATGTTTACTACAATCTGCGCGTCACTCGCTTTGTCCACCTCTGTGGTACTGCTGGACTAATGGCTCGTTGGTCCACACATCCACACACCACACGCCATGAGGGTCACGCGGGCGAAGCAGTACCGGAGGCATCTCCGCTTCTTCAGAATCGTCTACGGGATCTCTGCTCCGTACAAGGTATGTTTGGTACGAAAGATGTCGAGACGAAAGTGGACAGTCCCGCCGGGCGGCCCTGTGCTGCGGGAGCAGTCCACCCACCATGCCCCTTGGGAGTTAGGAAGAGATACACACCGCAGGTCTGGAACCATCTTCTGGTTCCTAAGTTGCTGGACAAAAAGATAAGCTCAGTAAACGATGTCACTCGGTATATTCCGCGTCGCAGAGGAAGGGACGAGAATGGTACAATGCGGGCCGCGCAATGCGGCGAAATAGCGAAAATGGCTTAGTGTCTGGAGGGAGCGAATGTGCTTGTTTCTCCCATTCCAGACGACCCTTCTAGACGACGACATGTGCAGTTGCTGCTGCGATTGCCCCCTGACAATACGCTGATCTGAGGCCAGCAAATGTACGGGGGGAAGTAGCGCGATCCTCAGCACGACACGGGAACTCTCACCATACGCTCCCGAGCACCCCTGATACGCCTTGTATGCGCCATGTATGTTCTACTGTATGCACAAACATTTTTTTTTTTCTCATATCCTTGGGCTCAGTCGTCTGCCCCTCTGGCCCCTATCCTCCACTTCTACCAGCTAGACGACCCAACCGGGGTCACATAGGAGGGGGGGGTTGGACCCCCTCCTTACAATATATAAACGCATGTTTCGCTGTCCCATGTGGTAAATAGCGTCTACCGTGTGTACCGGGCGAATGATTCAAACGACAACCGCGGAACAGGGATGGCATGAAACAGGCGCCCATTGGCATGTACGCAGCAGTACGCGTTCTCTTCGTGTGTGCAGAACGGTGTCGCCTGTCGTTGGGAGCCTACTTATCGACCACGACACCGAACCAACACGACACACTTTAACCTTTTAGCGATGGGTCTGCCATTCGCGAAGGCCGGTCTGAGTGTGAGGAGGGAGTGCCACGACGACACTTGTAGCAAACAATAATCACAGAAAAGACTACCCCGTTCGAAATAGCACCGCAGCAAGTAGTCGAAGGGTGCGTGTCGAAGCCTTAGCAGATTATTTTGTTTTAGAAATCACAGCGATGATTCTGTCATTGCGATGATTCTGAGTGCGAGGAGGCCTCTGCTCCCACCCTGGAAGTCCCCTTCCCCCCCCCCTCAACCTGGCCAGGCGCGTGTGGGGCCCTGTATTAATGATGTGCCATCCGGCTACGCTTCATCTGAAAAGCGTGTCAGGTCCACTCAAGGTGTTGTTGTTGTTGCCATGTCAGCCGTGCCGTGTCTTGCCCTCTCCTTCGTGCAGTGCAGAACGGAAAACAATTGGGCAAAAGCTGCACACCACAAGTCTACTTACACCTGCCGTTGGCTGTTTATGATCGCCCCGTGGCACGTGTGTTGCTGTGCCAAGTTGCTTATTTATTGATCTACCTTCTGCGTTTCGTGCCGTGTGTATACGTTTGCGCATGCCTAAGTATTTACCAATTACGTGCTTCCCCCGCTCTCTCTTTGTGTTGCCCGACGGACATACCCAAGGTAATTCTGGACGGCAATTTCATCCATGGATGCATCTCCTCAAAGGTCGACATCGAAAAAAGATTGACCAGCGTCCTCCAGGTCTGTTCACGTGCTCCTTGATTGGTGTCGACCAGGCTGACGAATTCATGGAGACGTCAGCTTGGGCTAAATATTAGCGCGTTGGAGGTGTGATTTTCTGCGTGTGTTTCCTTTTTTTTTCATGTTTCTTTTTGAACAGGGGCGTACTTGATGCACGATTTGGGCACTGTAGAGCAGTGCAGGTAAAGTTAGCCGAAAATTCCGCTGTCCACGGCACGCAAAAAGCACATGTGACACGTGTTTCTAGATGATGGATCGCCCAGCCCAGATAGGGGCCGGTAAGCAAGGGGTTATGTCGGACCTATTTTCTCCTCCCAGACGCGCGTCCGACTTGCTACTGGATGATATCTTCGCTCGCATCCAGCACGAAAACATCAATAGTAGGTGCTGCCGCGAGGCAACCTCTCGTTACTTCAGACACCGTGGACGGTCATGAGAATCGGTAAGGTCCCTCGTTTTCATTTTTATCCGTTTTCGTTCTGTGTGTGTTCTCTGTTTGCTTCCCCATCCTCGTGTATCTACCAAGCTTTTCAATCATCACAACGTTCTTCTTATTTTTGTTGCCCCCCCCCCCCCCCCCCCCCCCC